AGAGCATCCATAGAGCACCCATAGAGCACCCATAGGGCACCCAGCACCCACAGCCCCGGGTCCCCTCTCACCAGGAGCTGGTGCAGGCCCCAGGCCACCTCCTGCTCCCCGATGTCCCCGCTCGGGGGCCGCTCCCGCAGGAGCCTCCGCAGCGGCGTCACCTCCTCAGTGACCAGGTACAGGCAGTGCTCGGTCTGGGGGAGCGGAGCCTCAGCACCCAGCAGCACCCGGGGCGCCCATGGGCTCCCATTGGAACCCATTGGCACCCTCAGCACCCAGCAGCACCCGGGGCACCGATGGGCTCCCATTGGAACCCACTGGTACCCATTGGTACCCACTGGAACCCATTGGAACTCACTGGTACCCATTGGAACCCATTGGAACCCATGGGAACCCATTGGCACCCATTGGAACCCAGTGGTACCCACTGGAACCCATTGGAACCCACTGGAAAACATTGGTACCCTCACCACCCAGCAACACCCGGGGTGCCCATGGGCACCCATTGGAATCCATTGGCCCCCACCGACCCCCCCAGGGCACCCACGGGCATCCACTGGCACACATTGGAACCCACTGGCACCCACGGGCACCCACTTGAACCCACTGGAAGCCATTGGCACCCACTGGCACCCATTGGAACCCACTGGAACCCATTGGCACCCATTGGAACCCACTGGCACCCACTGGCACCCATTGGCACCCACTGGAACCCATTGGCACCACTGGCACCCACTGGAACCCATTGGCACCCACTGGCACCCATTGGCACCCACTGGCACCCGTTAGCTCCCATTTGCACCTACTGGCACCCATTGGAACCCACCGACCCCCCAGGGCACCCACTGGCACCCATTGGCTCCCATTTGCACCCATTGGCACCTGTTGGCTCCCATTTGCACCCACTGGCACCCACTGGCACCCACTGGCACCCATTTGCACCCATTAGCACCCACTGGCACCAATTGGCACCCACTGGCACCCATTTGCACCCATTGGCACCCACTGGCTCCCACTGGCACCCACTGGCACTCACTGGCACCCATTAGCACCCACTGGCACCCATTGGCTCCCATTAGCACCCACTGGAACCCACTGGCACCCATTGGCTCCCATTTGCACCCCTGGCACCCCCTGGCCCCCCCAGCGCTCACCTCCAGGCTGTCCAGGTACCCCAGCACATTGGGGTGCCTCAGGCTCCGCAGGCGCTTCAGGCCCGCCCGGGCCAGGGCCGTGGCAGCCGCGTCCCCCGGGGCCAGGCTGTGGGCAAAGACCGAGACCGGGGCCCCGTCCGCCTGCGGGGAGGGATCTGGTTATGGGGTGAAGGGATGGGGGGGGGGAGATGGGGGTGGGGGGTATGGGATATGGGGGTGAAGGGATGGGGGGATGGGGATATGGGGGTGAAGGGTTGGGGGTGGGGGTATGGGGTGAAGGGAGGGGGGTGGGGAGATGGGGGTGGGGGGATGGGGGAGATGGGGTGGGGATGGGGGGATGGGGGTATGGGGGATGGGGTGATGGGGATATGGGGGTGAAGGGATGGGGGGATGGGGATTGGGATATGGGGGTGAAGGGATGGGGGGGGATGGGGAGATGGGGATGGGGAGATGGGGATATGGGGGTGTGGGGATGGGGGATATGGGGGGATATGGGGATATGGGGGTGTGGGGATGGGGGATATGGGGATGTGGGATATGGGGGATATGGGGATGTGGGGATAGGGATATGGGGGTGTGGGACATGGGGGATATGGGGATGGGGATATGGGGGTGTGGGTATGGGGGATACGGGGATGGGGATATGGGGATGGGACAGGAGGGTAAAGGGATGGGGGGGACAGGGATGGGGAGATGAGGGATGGGGTGATGGGGATATGGGGGTGAAAGGATGGGGGGGACAGGGGTGGGGATATGGGGATGGGGGATACAGGGATGGGGATATGGGGGTAAAGGGATGGGGGGGACGGGACGGGGACACAGGGATAGGGACACGGGGATGGGGACAGGGGGATGGGGATACAGGGATGGGGGATACGTGGATGGGGGATATGGGGATGGGGACAGGGGGATGGGGATATGGGGATGAGGATATGGGGATGGCGACAGGGGGATGGGGACACGGAGATGGGGACACGGGGATGGGGGGGATACGGGGATGGGGACACGAGGATGAGGACACGGGGATGGGGACACGGGGATGGGGGGGATACGGGGATGGGGACAGGGGGATGGGGACATGGGGATGGGGACACGGGGATGGGGACACGGGGGATGGGGACACCCGGCGCTAGGACCCAGCAGCCGGGGGGGGTCACTGCACGGCCCTGGGTGACGCCGCTCCCCGAGCCCCCCCCTCACCTTCCGCCGTCCCCGCAGCAGCCGCCAGAGCGGGTCCGGATCCGGGTCCGGGTCTGGGTCCGGGTCCGGTTCGGGCTGGCCCAGCTCGAAGGGGAAGTCCCGGACCGGGTCCCTGGAGAAGAGCCACATCGCGGGGGGGGCGGCGGGGCCCGGCGGGCCCGGGGCGGGAGAGGCCGAGGCCGAGGCCGGGCCCGGAGGAAGCGGCGGCGGCGCCGGGCGGGAGGATCCGGTGACGGACCAGGGGGCGTGGCGCAGGGAAGGGGCGGGGTCATGGGCGGTGCCGACAGGGGCGGAAGGCGGCGATTGGAGGAGGTGGGGAAGAGGCGGGGCCACAGAAGGAGGGTGCGTGTGACCCACGGGGGCGGAGAGAGGGCGGGGCCTGTGGGCGAGGGGCGGTGCCCGGGGTAACCAGGGACGCCAGAGGGGGCGTGGCCAAGGATCGGCTCGAAAAGGGGCGGGGCCCGGAAGGGCTGCGCGAGCGACACGCGGCAGGTGCGGGCGGTGACGTCACCGCCACGTTGGCGGGAACCCCGTAGCTACGTCACAGGAGGCCGGCAGTGACGTTGTCGTGCGTATCGCAGCCCTGTGACGTCACACCCCCGCGTCCCCGTTCCCCCCCCCCCCATCAGACACAACACGAAGCCGGTCAAGTCTCAGCAGTTTATTGGTCACGGGGGAGGGGCACATGCTCCTGTCGCGACACGGGGCACCGATCACGATACAAGGGGCTCTGTCCCAACTCTCATCAGGTACACGCTGAGCTCCCGCAGGCCAATGGAGTCTTCAAAGCAATACGAGGCTCTCGTCACAAGATGAGGTCCCTGTCACGACATGGGTGCAACCCCTACCCCTGTATCGTGAAGACCCCAAAGCAAAGTGGGGCCCTGAAGAACCTGGGTGGGGAGGGGCTACTGCACTAAGGGGTCCCTGCGATATGGGACATGATATGGGGACCCCTGTGATGAGCCCCCACCACGATACAGCATCCCTGTCACGATAGGAGTCTCTACCATACTACGGGGTGCCTGCTGCCCCCTATCATGGATACCCCAAAGCAACATGGGAGGCCCTGAGAGGAAAAGGAGCTATTGCAGTGAAGGGTCCCTGTCGCAATGGGAGGTGTCCATCACGCTATGGGGCCCCTGTCACGATGGGGGGGGGTCCAACACACTATGGGGTCCCTGTCACAATAAGGGGGGGTCCAACACCCTATGGGGTCCCTGTCACGAAAAGGGGGGGGGTCCATCACACTATGGCGTCTCTGTCAGAATACTGGGGTCCATCACACCAAGGGACCTCTGTCACAATAAGGAGGGGTCCATCACACTATGGGGCCCCTGTCACAGTAAGAGGAGGGGCCCATCACCCTACTAGGGCCCCTGTCACGATAAGGGGGGGTCCAACACACTATGGGGCCTCTGTCTCAGTAAAAGGGGGGCCCATCACACTAAGGGGTCCCTGTCGTAATGAACGGGGACCCATCACATTATGGGGTCATTGTCACAATAAGCTGGTGTCCATCACACTGTGGGGTCCCTGTCCTGGTATAACGGAGATCCATCACACTATGGGGTCCCTGTCGCGATAAATAGGGGGGGGTGTCACCCTATCGATGTATCACAGCTGCCCCAAAGCAACACAGGGGGGCTACAGAAACAGGGGGGGCTGTTGCAGTAAGGGGGCTCCTGTCACGCTATGGGGCTCTGTCACACCACGGGGCTCCTATCACGCTATGGGGCTCCTGTCGTGCCAAGCAGCGGGCGCCGCAGGGGGTCGAACCCTGCCCCGGGCACAGCTCCGGGGGTGCCACCACCGGCGCCTTTTGCTTTTTTTTTGGGTCAATTTAGGGCTTTTTTGGGGGCGGAGGCGAAAAAGCAAAACCTGAGACAACGCTGGGGGGGTTCTCTCAGGAAAAGAAAAAACCTCCGAGGGGGGAGGGGCGGGGGCGGGGCGGCCCCTCCCCCACAGGGGGTGCGGGGTGGGGGGGACCCCAAAACACCCCAAAAGCACCCCAAAAATGGGCGATTTGGGGGCCGAAAAACCAAGCAACACAACCCCATCCCCCCCATGGGAACGGCGCCAAAACCGCGGCCGGAGGGATGGGGGAAGGGGGGTTCGAGGCAGCTTTAACAGGAAAAAGCAGGATTTGGGAGGAAAATGGGGTGAGAAATGGGGATTTTGGGTCAGGATCACAGTCCCCTAGTGCAAAATGGGTTTAGAAAGTGGGGTTTTGGGTCAGGATCGTGTCTCCCTTGGTCCCAAAATTGGCTTAGAAACGGGGATTTTGGGTCAAGGTCACGCGCCCTCCCCATCGCAAAACAGGCACAGGAAAGGGGGGGGCAGGGCGGGGGTCCCTTCCCCAAGCACAAAATGGGCTCAGAAAGAGGAATTCTGGGTCAGGCGCAAAAAAGGCTCCTTAAGGGGGCTGGGGAGAGGTTGGGCTCGCGCTCCCATCGCGAAAATGGGCTCAGAAAGCAGGATTTTGGGTCAGAGCCGCGCTCCGTTGGCTACAGCAGGCTCAGAACAGGGGTGGGTGGGTCCCCGGGTACTTACTCGCTCGCTCACCTCCTGCCTGATGTTTTGGGGGCATTTTCTAGTTTTTAGCCATTTGGGGAGCCAATTGTCCATTTTGGGGCCAATCGAGGCCGTTTTGGCACAGTCACTGCGGGGGGGGGGGGGGGAATGGGGGAAAGAAACAACAACAGCACCAGGAACAACACCGGGAATAACACCAGGAACAAGAACGGGACCAAGCGGAGCCTCTGAGCTCCTCCCTACCCAAAACCTCTGCGGCTCCTCCTCAACTCCTAGCGTTTCGAGGGAAAAAACTGGGAAAACGGTTAAAAAGAGCCTCCCCCCTCCCCTTTCCAAGCAACACGCAGCGGGTTTTTTGGGGGGAAAAAGCCACATTTTGGTTCAATCTCCCTCCTATTGGACCCTTTGGGGGTGAAGGGGGTGTTGTTAAATTTGTGGCTTTTGGGGAAGGGGGAAGTGGAATGTGGGGGGGAAAAGCAGCAATTCCCATCGCGTCCCAAAGCAGAATGGCCCAATTTTTGGGGAAAAACAGCAAAAATACCCTTTTTTGGTGCTATTTTTTCTGCCTACGTGCTCCTGAAGACCCTTTTCAGGGGCTTTTTTGCCCCAATGTGGCTGTTGGCAGCTGTGAATCCTCAACAATGGAATGGGGGGGGGGGCTCTGGAAAAAACACCCACAAGACACAACCCCCACCCCCAGCCCCGTTTTGGGGGTTAAAGCAGCAAAACCCACTCCAGTTTTAGCCACTTCAGCCCAAATCCCATCGTTTCTCCGCGCTGGAATGGGGGAGGGGAGTGGGATATGGGGGGGAGGGGGGCAAACATGCCACGAGGTGCATGGGGAGGGGAAGGGGCAGCGATCCCACCAACGGCACCACCGAGTCCCGCCCCCCCTCCATGCCACCGAAAACGGCCGAAAACGCCCCAAAACCCCCAAATCCACACCCAGAAATAGAGAGAAGCCAAAAAAAACCAGTTTTGTGCCTCCCCCCCACCCTTTCCACCGCAGTTTTGGGGGGTTTTACGTTAAGTTTTCCTATGGGAAGCTCCTGGGAATACTCGGGATGAAAAGTCCTCATTTTCCAGCTCCGTTTTTGGGGGGGAAAAGGGGGTTTTCTTCCAAGCTGCCTCCCAGCACAGCATCTGCGGAAAGGCTGGGAACAGGCCCCCCAACACCCCCCTCCCCCCCCAAAACCCAACGGCAACACCCAAAACCCTCCCAATTCAACCCAAACTCTTACTTCCGCCTGGCTCCATGGTGGTATCAAATCGCTGCCTTTAGCCCCATGGGTGCTGGGGAAAGCTCCCGTTTTGGGTGCAGATTGGCCTTTTTTGGGCAAATCCTGGCCCTTGGAATCACTTTTTTTTTTTTTTTCTTGGCGTTTTTCTCACCATTATCTGCCTTTTTCCTGCGTTTTTCCTGCATTTTTCCTGTGTTTTTTTCCTGTTTTCCTGCATCTTGGCTGCTTCTCTGAGGGTGGAAAAACACTCGAGACACCCCCCCCCCCCAAAAAAAACACATTTCCCCCCTTTCCTCCCCCTTTTCCAGATCCTTTGGTCCATCCCTCCCTCACATCACCATTTTGGGAGCAAACAGAAGGATTTTGGAGCACTTACTCTGCGGCGCCGGCGGGACCTAAGCCTGGAGCTTGGGGATGCTGGAGGTGGGGGGGGGGGGGATTTTACCCATTTCTTGGGAGTTTTATGGCAAAAACGGGGGGCGCGGAGCAGCGCCCGTGGTGCCTGCAATGACAAGAGCCCCCCCAAAGCCTCCCGAAACCCTCCCCCCCCACATCAGAAACGCCCCCAAACGGGGCCAGGCCTCACCGGCTGCGGCTCCTGCTCCAGCCCCACAAGCTCCGGCTCCTCTCGGCCCCAAACCTTCCTGGGCCTCCTCGCCTCGCTCTACCCTGGGTCCCGCCGGTGCCGCTGCCTCCATTGCCTCCGCTTCTCCTCTCTTCCCTCCATCGCTCCTGCTCCTCCTCGGGCTCTTCCTTCCTCCTCTGCCTTCACCAGTTCCCAGCGGCTCCTCTCTCATTCCTGCGTTCGCTTTTTTTTTCTCCCCCCAATCTTCTCCAATTTCCACTTTTTTCTTTCCCCCTTTTCTCCATTTTCTTTTTTTCCCATTTTCTCTACTTCTATTTTTCTCAATTTTTTTTTTCTATTTTCCTTTTTCTCATCTTTTCTTTCCGATTTTCTTCTCAATTTTCATTTTTTCTATTTTCCTCTTCTCATTTTTTCTATATTTTCTGTAGTTTCAATTTTTATCTAGTTTTTCCAATTTTTATTTTTTCTCAATTTTTATCTCAATTTTATTTTCTTTTCTTGTTTTTTTTCTATTTGTTTTTTCTATTTTTTCTCTATTTCTTGTCTTTTTCTCTTATTTCTTGTTTATCTATTTTTTCTCTATTTCTTGGGTTTTTCTCTAGTTCTTGCTTATTTCTTGCCTTTTTCTCTATTTCTTCCTTTTTTCTCTATTTGTTTTTTCTCTACTTCTTGTTTCTCTATTTCTTGCTTTTTCTCTATTTCTTGTCCTTTTCTCTCTTTTTCTCTATTTATTTCTTGCCTTTTTCTCTTTATTTGTTTTGGTTTTTTCCTCCATTTCTTGCTTTTTCTCTATTTTTTTTCTCTATTTCTTGTTTTTTTCTCTATTTGTTCTTTTATTTCTTGGTTATTTCTTGGGGTTTTTTTCAATTTTTTTTCTCTATTTCTTCCTTTTTCCTCTATTCTTTTTTTTCTATTTCTTCCTTTTTCTCTTATTTGTTCTTTTTCGCTCTCGTCTGTTCCTCTATTCCTCCTCTTTCTGCTCCTATTCGCTTTGTTCTTCTCCATCTCCTCGTCTCCGCGGGCTCCTTTCCCCTCGCCTCCTTCCTGCCCTGAGCCCAGCGCTCCTGGGGCTGCTCCAGCTCCGTCGGCCCTCACCACCCGTCCGGAGCTTCAAAACACAAAGGAAGCCGCTTTAGGAGCCCCGGCGCAGGCTCTGCGGCAGCCTCAGGGGCTGCTCTCAGGCCGGAACCGCTTTAGGAGCGTTCCGAAAGCACGGAAAGCGCTTCAGGAGCTGCGGCGAAGGAGGGATCTGCTTTAGGAGCTGTCCCTCCCTTGCAAACGGGGCTCCCGCTCCCGCTCTCCTAACGCAGCCTTTAAGGGCTGGCGAAAGGCCCCGGCCCCTCCAGTGCCAAGAGAAGGGCCCGAAAGGCTCCGGTATCAAACAGAGCAGCTTTAAGAGCCGCGATCCCACCGCAAACCGGCTTTAAGAGCTTCGGTTCTCAACCCAAAGGGTTTCAAGAGCTGCTCGTTTCTAAAGCAAAGCAGATCGGGGCGTTCGAGGCATTAAGAAGTCCCCAGCTCGCGCTCGGCTTTTCTAAAGCCAAATTCTATCAAAAAAATCGAAGAAAACAGCTTTAAGAGCCTTTTTTTCTTCAAATAAAGCCGCTTTAAGAGCGTTTCGCTTTAAATTAAGTCGCTTTAAGAGCCTTTTTTCTTCAAATAAGCTTTAAGAGCGTTTTGCTTTAAATGAAGCCGCTTTAAGAGCATTTTGGCGTTAAATAACGCCGCTTTAAGCCCCCTTTTCTAATCTAGGGCCGCTTTTAAGAGCGTTTTGGCCCCAAAGAAGCCGATTTTAAAGGCAAAAGAGCAGCTCCGCGAGCAGGAATCGCCTCAGCACAAGCATTAATGGCGATTGGGGCCGCTCCCTCCCCGCGCCCCTTTATAAGGCCGAGGCACGGCCGCCTCACCGCAGCCGCTTCCGCTGGGGGGGGGGAGAAAATAGTCCCTGTGATTCACCAAGTAACCCCGATTAAAGCAAAAATCGCTTTATCTTTTCCGGGTCTTTTTTACTCCTTTCATTCTCCATCACCCCCCGGAGGATGGAGGGGGGGTTGGGCACTGGACTGGTTCGTTTTAGCACCATTTTGGGGCTCCCTTCTGACCTTTTTGGGGGGAATCTGGAGCTTTCTCGTTCTTTCTCGCCCCATTTTGACCCTTTTCGCTCTCGCGGCATCCGGTGGCTCCTTTTGTCCCACAAACGGGGGGGGGGAACAGTGCTTGAAAAGGACCCAGACCCCAAAACCCCTTCTTTTTGCCCATTTCCCCCCTTTCCAAACGCCCCTTTGTTACCGTTATCCATCCCAACAATGCCCAAGGGACCTTTTCTGGCTTTTTTTCTATGAAAGCCCCCCCAAACCTCCTCCTTTCGCGGCATTTTGAGGCCCTGCTGAGTCACGGCCCGAGCCCTTTGCGCTTCCGGACGGGATCCAGGAGCATTGGGAGGGATGCACCCCCCCCAACCGCACCATTAAACCCCATTCCTGAAGGAGAACAGGTTTCGCTGTTATTAATAGCATTCCCCTGCAATATCCCACCATTAAACCTCCCCCAAAAGTGCTTTTTTACCCCCATTTCACCCACACCTCAAAGCTCCCCTTCCTCCATCTCGATTCCATCCCTTTAATGCTGCTTTTGCTCGTTTCAGGCTGCTTTTCTCTATTCCAACCCCAATTTAAGCTTTACAATTCCTTCATTGGCTGTGACACAGCCAAAGTTCACGTTTTCTGTGGGGAAAGGCCCCATAAAGCTGTTTTTTACCCCAAATCCGGGCTTGGAGGGGCCATTTGAAGGCATTTTCCATAGGAAAATAAACCCAATTTCACCAACCCCCCACTTTTCCATAAATGAAAGCAATAAAAAGGCTCAAATGGGTGAGAAGCTGCTTGGGTTCGGTGACTTTTATGGACAGATTTAACCGCAATAGCACTAAATGCCCTAAAAATGACCCCAAAATTACCTCTGGCAATAATTTCAGGTGAAACTAAGCCCTTTTTAGCTTTCAAATTGCAGCTTTTTGACCCAAACAGCCCCTTCTAAGCCTAATTTGAGGGTGCGAGGGGGGGGGGTGGTGGTGGTGTTCGCCACCGTTTCCCAAAGGATTTAGGGCCAAACCCCCCCCCCAATTCCTCACCCTTTGGCCTCCTGAAGGCGCCGTTTTTGAGGCAAAACGACCCGTTTTGAGCGGCTTTTTACCCCAAAACCACCTCCACGGGGATTCCTTTGTGGTTGCTCCATAGGGGGGCCGCTTTCCCCCCCTCCATAACACCCCCATAACCGATATTAACCCCCCCAACGCGTTGGATTTAACCGCTCCTAACGCCCATAGAGGCCGCCCCCCCTCCGCGGAGGGATACGCGGCGGCGCGGCCGGTTCCAGCCGGTCCCGCGGGTGGCGCAGTGCGGCGCTGCCCTCCCCCCCCCCCATTACCTCAGCGCTGCCGCAGGGGCGGGCGCCATCGCGATAGGGATCGCGATAGTTCCGTCCCTTCCCACCCCGAAGCGGGGGTGGACGCGGGTTTAGCCGCTCCCGAGGAGGGGGAAATGGAGGAAAAATGGAGGAAAAACCTCTTTTTGGCGTGGATTTTACCTCAGGAAATGGCGGAACGGGGGCAAGAAGAGGCCTACAAAATGGCGGCCGCGGCACCTCAAAATGGCGGCGCTCGGGCAAAGCGCTGCGCCGGGGCAGAAATACCCCCTCCCCATTCAAAATAAACCCCACTTAATGGCTTTTTAACCCATAAATGATTTAATTCCAACAGACCCAAAGCGGCGTTTCCCCACGGGAGCCTTTCCCTGAGGTAAAGGGGGGGGGGGAAGCGTCCTTTCCTCCTTCCCAACCCCGGTGTTTTCCCCCGTTCAGAGCTTGTAACACTTAAAACCTCCCTTTTCAAGGACAAACTTCCCCAAATCAGGGTTTTTTCCCCTTAAACCACCCCCGGGCTAAAGTGGTTTTTTCGGGGGGGGACACGACGACACACAGGACGATACGACATGTATGTACCGTGAAAAAGAGACGTTTTGGTTCAAAGCAGCTCCTTGAGGCGGGGAGGGAGGGGAAAGACGGTAAATAACGAAATAAAAGAGATAATGAAGTAAAAGAAATAATGAAGGGGTTAAATATTGAAGTAAAAGGCTTAAATAATGAAGGGGTTAAACATCGGTGTTAAATAATAAAGTAAAAGGGTTAAATAATGAAGGGGTTACTATTGAAGTGAAAGGGTTATATAATGGAGTTAAATATTGAAGAAGGGTTAAATAATGGAAGTAAAGGAGTTAAATATTGAAACAAAAGGGTTACACGATGAAATAACTGCAGTTTTGGGGTGTTTTTGTGCACAGAAGGGACCTGCAGAGCCCGGCAGAGAAGGCAGTGCCCCAACCCCAGCAGGATTCGCCCCAAAGCACCACGAGGCGCGGGTGAGCAGCGCCTCCCGTTGGTCCCTCACAGCGTCAGCGGCTCCAAAATGAACTAAAAAGCCCGTATTTAACCCGAAATTGTGCCCGATGGCGGCATCCACGCTCCTTTATTGGGCAGGGAAGGCTCAGGCCTGCTCCGCCCCCCCCGCCACGGCGCTGTAGGAGCCGCCCCTTCCAAAGAACGAGGCCGAGCGCCGGGGGGGCTTCACCCGCCTTAGCTCCTGCCCTGGGGGGGGGAACGGAGGGGGTCAGAGCGATCCCGGGCCACCCCCGACCCCCCTAATTCCCCTCCCGACCCCCCCTAATGCCGCCCCCCCCCGCGCACCGTCCTGGACGTAGTCGATGGTCGCCAAGCGCTGCAGCCGCGGCCGCAAGGGGGCGCCCTTCGAAGGGGGTTCGTGGGCGGGGCCTTCTGTGGGCGGGGCTTGGCCCGGGGGAGGGGCTTGCGCCGGCTCTGGCCCCGCCCCTCCCAGCTCGATGCAGCACTCGATGAGGGCGCTCATCAGCTCCGCCTGGGGGCGCTGTCAGCACGCGGGAAGCGCCGCGGCGCCCCCTAGCGGCGCGCAGCCAGCCGCAGCTGGCCCCGTGCCCCATAACCACCCCCAGTGCCCCATAACCAGCCCCCAGTGCCCCATAACCACCCCCAGTGCCCCATAACCACCCCGCAGTGCCCCACAACTACACCCCAGTGCCCCATAACCACCCCTAGTGCCCCATAACCAGCCCCCAGTGCCCCACAACCACCCCCAGTGCCCCATAACCAGCCCCCAGTGTCCCATAACCACCCGCAGTGCCCCATAACCAGCCCCCAGTGCCCCATAACCACCCCATAACCACCCCCAGTGCCCCACAACCTCCCCCCAGCGCCCCATAACCACCCCCCAGTGCCCCATAACCACCCCGCAGTGCCCCAGAACCACCCCCCAGCACCCCATAACCACCCCCAGTGCCCCATAACCACCCCGCAGTGCCCCAGAACCACCCCCCAGTGCCCCACAACCACCCCTTAGTGCCCCCTAACCACCCCCTAGTGTCCCACAACCTCCCCCCAGTGCCCCATAACCACCCCCCAGTGCCCCATAACCACCACACAGTGCCCCACAACTGCCCCCCAAGTGCTGCACCTGTGGGGAGAACACCCGCAGCAGCCGGTTCACGGGGGCTCCCTCATGGTCCCCATCAAACTCCAGCCAGAGCTGGGGGGGCCCCGCGGCCTCATCCCCTTCCTGCCCCATGGCCTCGTCTCCCTCCTGCCCCACGGCGCCCACAAGCTCCCAGCACAGCTCGGGGTAGGTCAGCGTCAGCAGCACGAGCTGGGGGGCAGGGGGGAGTCAGCCCCATGGCTGCCCCACAGCCTCCTCTCCCTGCCCCACAGCCCCCTCCCCATGCCCCACAGCTGCCCCACAGCCTCCTCCCCATGCCCCACAACTGCCCCACAGCCTCCTCCCCCTGCCCCATGGTGTCTCATCACAACTGCCCCCCCAACAGCCCCAGTCCCCATCCTGCCCCACAGACCCCCCCCGGACTTGATGCTGCCCCATACATCCTACTGTGGGCCTGATCCTGCACCATAAACACCTCTCCATCCCCAATCCTGCCCCACACATCCCGCTGTGGGCCTAATCCTGTGCAACAGACCCCACCATGGCCCCAATCCTGCCCCACAGACACCACTGTGAGGCTGATCCTGCCCCATAGACCCCACTATGGCCCCAATCCTGCCCCACAGACACCAGTGTGAGGCTGATCCTGCCCCATAGACCCCACTATGGCCCCAATCCTGCCCCACAGACTCCCTGCTATCACCCCAGTCCTGCCCCACAGACCCCACTTATGGCCTCAATCCTGCCCCACAGACACCACTGTGAGGCTGATTGTGCCCCATAGACCCCCCCCATGGCCCCAATCCTGCCCCACAGACCCCCCCCATGGCCCCAATCCTGCCCCATAGACCCCCCCATGGCCCCACTCCTGCCCCACAGACCCCCCCCATGGCCCCAGTCCTGCCCCACAGACCCCCCCATACCTTCTCCCGGGGGTCGATGATGGTGACCCCCTCCAGCCCCACAGCGATGGTTACGGGCCGCAGCCCCCCACGACCCAGCAGCCCCCCATGGGGACGTTCAATGGCTCCCGGGAAGAAGGCGCAGCTGGGGGGGGACACACAGAGGGGGGGGTCCTGGGTCCCCTCCACCCTCCCCCCCCAGGTGCACTTGGGGGGTGCAGGAATGGGGGGGGCACTGGGGGGGGTCTTGGGGTTGGGGATTGGGGGGGTCCATGGGGGGTTGCTGGGATCCTGCTGGGGGGGGGGGTCCTGGGTGTTTGGGGTCTATGGGTTCCCATAGGGGGTATGGGGGGTCCCACTGCAGGGGGGTCCCATTGGGGTGTCCCATTGTGGGGGGAACCACTGGGGTCTCCCATTGGGTGTCCCATAGGGGTAACTCATGGGGGGAATCCCACTGGGGTCTCCCATTGGGTGTCCCACAGGGGTAACTCATGGGGGGGATCCCATTGGGGTGACTCATTGGGGGTGTCCGATTGGGGTGTCCCATGGTGGGGGGGGTCCCACAGGGGTGTCCTACTGGGTGTCCCATAGGGGTGTCCTATTGGGTGTCCCATTGCATATCTCATAGGGGTGACTCAGAGGGGTCTCCCATTGGGGTGCCCCACTGGGGGGTCTCACTGGGGGATCCCATTGGGTCTCCCATAGGGGTCTCTATTGGGTCTCCATTGGCTCTCCCATTGGCTCTCCCCTGGGGGTCTCCACTGGTGTCTCCCATTGGCTCTCCCATAGGGGTCTCCATTGGTGTCTCCCATTGGCTCTCCCATAGGGCTCTCCCATTGGCTCTCTATTGGGTCTCCATTGGCTCTCCCATTGGCTCTCCCCTAGGGGTCTCCCACAGGGCTCCCCCATTGGCTCTCACATAGGGGTCTCCATTGGTGTCTCCCCTAGGGGTCTCCCATTGGCTCTCCCCTAGGGGTCTCCCCTAGGGGTCTCCATTGGTGTCTCCCATAGGGCTCCCCCATTGGCTCTCCCATTGGCTCTCCCCTAGGGGTCTCCATTGGTGTCTCCCCTAAGGCTCCCCCGTTGGCTCTCCATTGGCTCCCCCATTGGCTCCCCCATTGGGTCTCCCATTGGCTCTCCCATAGGGCTCTCCCATTGGCGTCTCCCATTGGGTCTCCCCTAGGGCTCCCCCATTGGCTCTCCATTGGCTCTCCCATAGGGCTCTCCCATTGGCTCCCCCATTGGCTCTCCCATTGTCTCTCCCATGCCCCCTCACCCGTAGCCGGGCAGCTCATGGCAGCGCCGCAGGAAGTCCCGGTGCAGCTCCGCGGGGGGGGCTCCGGGCCCGGGGGTGCGGGCGAAGGCCTCGAGCAGGCGCTGCTCGGGGGGGGGCTCCCGGGGCCCGCGGCGAACGAGCGCCCCCCAGAGCCCCCCCCAGCCCCGCGGCGCCGCCCGCGGCAGCAGCTCCGGTAACAGCGGCCTGGGGGGGGGAATGGGGGTTAGAGGGGGGTTCCCATGGGTCCACTATGGGTTGTAGTGGGTCAGTGTGTGTGTGCCTATGGTCACTGTGGGTCAATATGGTACCCTATGGTCTCTATGGTCTCTGTGTGTCTTTATGGTCTCTATGGTCTCTATGGGTCTCTATGGGTCTCTATGCTCTCTATGCTCTCTATGCTCTCTATGGGTCTCTATGCTCTCTATGGTCTCTATGGTCTCTATGGTCTCTATGGTCTCTATGGGTCTCTATGGTCTCTATGGTCTCTATGGTCTCTATGGTCTCTATGGTCTCTATGGTCTCTATGGGTCTCTATGGTCTCTATGGTCTCTATGGGTCTCTATGGTCTCTATGGTCTCTATGGTCTCTATGGTCTCTATGGTCTCTATGGTCTCTATGGGTCTCTATGGTCTCTATGGGTCTCTATGGTCTCTATGGTCTCTATGGTCTCTATGGGTCTCTATGGTCTCTATGGTCTCTATGGTCTCTATGGGTCTCTATGGTCTCTATGGGTCTCTATGGTCTCTATGGTCTCTATGGTCTCTATGGGTCTCTATGGTCTCTATGGTCTCTATGGTCTCTATGGTCTCTATGGTCTCTATGGTCTCTATGGTCTCTATGGTCTCTATGGGTCTCTATGGTCTCTATGGTCTCTATGGGTCTCTATGGTCTCTATGGTCTCTATGGTCTCTATGGGTCTCTATGGTCTCTATGGGTCTCTATGGTCTCTATGGTCTCTATGGGTCTCTATGGTCTCTATGGGTCTCTATGGTCTCTATGGTCTCTATGGTCTCTATGGGTCTCTATGGTCTCTATGGGTCTCTATGGTCTCTATGGTCTCTATGGGTCTCTATGGTCTCTATGGGTCTCTATGGTCTCTATGGTCTCTATGGGTCTCTATGGTCTCTATGGGTCTCTATGGTCTCTATGGTCTCTATGGTCTCTATGGTCTCTATGGTCTCTATGGTCTCTATGGGTCTCTATGGGTCTCTATGGTCTCTATGGGTCTCTATGGGTCTCTGGTCTCTATGGGTCTCTGGGTCTCTATGGTCTCTATGGGTCTCTATGGGTCTCTATGGTCTCTATGGGTCTCTATGGGTCTCTATGGTCTCTATGGTCTCTATGGGTCTCTATGGGTCTCTATGGTCTCTATGGTCTCTATGGGTCTCTATGGGTCTCTATGGTCTCTATGGTCTCTATGGGTCTCTATGGTCTCTATGGTCTCTATGGGTCTCTATGGTCTCTATGGTCTCTATGGGTCTCTATGCTCTCTATGGTCTCTATGGGTCTCTATTGGTCTCTATGGTCTCTATGCTCTCTATGGTCTCTATGGTCTCTATGGGTCTCTATGCTCTCTATGGTCTCTATGGGTCTCTATTGGTCTCTATGGTCTCTATGCTCTCTATGGTCTCTATGCTCTCTATGGGTCTCTATTGGTCTCTATGGTCTCTATGGTCTCTATGGGTCTCTATGGTCTCTATGCTCTCTATGGTCTCTATGCTCTCTATGGGTCTCTATTGGTCTCTATGGTCTCTATGGTCTCTATGCTCTCTATGGTCTCTATGGTCTCTATGGTCTCTATGGTCTCTATGTTCTCTATGGTCTCTATGGTCTCTATGGTCTCTATGGGTCTCTATGGTCTCTATGGTCTCTATGGTCTCTATGGTCTCTATGGTCTCTATGGTCTCTATGGGTCTCTATGGTCTCTATGGTCTCTATGGTCTCTATGGTCTCTATGGGTCTCTATGGTCTCTATGGTCTCTATGGGTCTCTATGGTCTCTATGGTCTCTATGGTCTCTATGGTCTCTATGGTCTCTATGGTCTCTATGGGTCTCTATGGTCTCTATGGTCTCTATGGTCTCTATGGGCCCCTCTCCCCTCCCCCGTACCTGATGGTTCTCTCCGTGTGCAGCCCCTGCTGGAAGGGGCCCAGGCGCAGGCGGCAGCTCAGGGCCCCCAGCGCCAGGGCCTGGGGGGGGGCGAGCGGGAGGCGCCCCCCCAGCACCTGCCCCCGAGCCTCCTCGTACAGGAGCCGCAGCAGCGCCTCCGACTGCACCTGCGCCCCGGAGAGACGCAGTCACACACAGGGACACATAGGGACCCACAGCGACCCATAGGGACCCACAGCGACCCATAGGGACCCACAGCGCCCCATAGGGACCCCCAGAGAGCTGCACATCACCCACATCACCCACAGCGCGCCTCAGCACCCCATAAGGACCCATAGCATCCCCTAGTGACCCATAGGGACCCCCAGAGAGCCACACATCACCCACAGCGCCCCATAGCGACCCACAGCGCCCCATAGGGACCCCCAGAGAGCTGCACATCACCCACAGCACCCCATCGCGACCCATTGCAACCCATGGCGACCTACAGTACCCCATGGCAACCCACAGCACCCCATGGCGACCCACAGCACCCCACGACGACCCACAGCACCCCACGGCAACCCACAGCACCCCATGGCACCCCACAGTGACCCACAGCACCACATAGCAACCCACAGCACCCCATAGCGACCCACAGCACCCCATAGTGACCCACAGCACCCCACAGTGACCCAGAACACCCCACACATCACCCCATTGCACCCCATAGTGACCCACAGCACCCCACATATCACCCCACAGCACCTCATAACGACACACAGCACCCCAGAGAAACCCATAGCATGACATACAGCACCACATAGAGACCCACAGCACCCCATAGCAAACCACACATCACCCCATAGCACCCCATAGAAGCCCACAGCAAACCACAGCATGACCTACAGCACCCCACAGTGACCCACACATCCCCCCACAGCGTGACCCACGCATGCTCCCCTCCCCTCCCCCCCCCCAGCCCCACACTTGGGGGGCGCCCCACACGTGGGGGCCCCGCTCACCTCCAGCTCCCTGCTCTTGGGGAAGAACACGTTCCTGCGGAGCTGCAGGCACGGCTCATCTGGGGGGGGGCAGGGGTGAGCCGGGGGGCACCAACAGGGAACCCCCCCAGTGCCCCCCATAACCCCCCATTGCTGCTCCCCAATGACCCCATTGCTGCCCCCAATGACCCCAGTGCCCCCCATAACCCCTCCATTGCTGCCCCCAATGACCCCAGTGCCCCCCAACCACCCCAGTGCCCCCCATAACCCCCCATTGCTGCTCCCCAATGACCCCAGTGCCCCCCATACCCCCCCAGTGCCCCCCATAACCCCCCCATTGCTGCTCCCCAATGACCCCAGTGCCCCCCATCTGCCCCATACCCCCCCATTGCTGCTCCCAATGACCCCAGTGCCCCCCAACCCCCCATCTGCCCCATACCCCCATCCCAACCCCCACCCCAAACCCCCCATTGCCCCATACCCCATTGCTGCCCCCAATGACCCCAGTGCCCCCCATACCCCCCATCTGCCCCATACCCCCCCATTGCTGCCCCCAATGACCCCAGTGCCCCCATAACCCCCCCATTGCTGCCCCATAACCCCCCCATTGCTGCCCCCAATGACCCCAGTGCCCCCCATACCCCCCCATCTGCCCCATACCCCCCCATTGCTGCCCCATAACCCCCCCAGTGCCCCCCCCAGTGCCCCCCCAGTGCCCCCCCGGTGCCCACCGGTGCCGATGTCCTCGGGGGGGGCGGAGCTGAGCCGCAGGAGGAGCTCGGGCCAGCGCCGGGCCACGCGCAGGGGGCGGTGCCGAGGCTTGAGCTGCACGGCTGGGAACGGGGAGGGGGATGGGGGGGGTAGGGGGTGGGGTAGGGGATGGGGGGTAGGGTATAAGGGGTATGGGATATAGGATATGAATATGGAGTATGGAATATGGGATATGGAGTATGAATATAGAGCATGGAATATGGGATATGGGGTGTGAAATATGGGGGAGAGATATGGGGTGTGGGATATGGGGTGTGGGGTATGGGTATGGGGTGTGGGGTATGGGATATGGGATAGGAGATAGAGGGTATGGGGTATGGGATATGGGGTGTGAGATATGGGGGGAGAGATATGGGGTGTGGGATATGGGATATGAGATGGGGATATGGGATATGGGATATGGGGTGTGGGGTATGGGTATGGGGTATGGGATAGGAGATAGGGAGTATGGGGTGTGAGGTGTGGGATATGGGATATGGGGTATGGGATAGGGATATAGGGTATGGGATATGAGATGGGGGTATGGGGTATGGGATATGGGGTGTGGGGTATGGGATATGGGGTATGGGATAGGAGATAGGAGATAGGGGGTACGGGATAGGGGATATGAGATAGGGGGTATGGGGTATGGGATATGGGATAGGAGATAGGGGGTATGGGGTATGGGATATGGAGTGTGGGGTATGGGGCACGAGGTATGAGACATGGGGTGTGGGATATAGGGTGTGAGATATGAGGTGTGGGGTATGGGGTGTGGGATATGGGTATGGGATATGGGGTGTGGGGTATAGGATATGGGATATGGGGTATGAGATATGGGGTTATGGGATAGGGAATATAGGATATGGAGCATGGGATATGGGATACAGGGTATGATATATGGGGTATGGGATATGGAGTATGAATATAGAGTATGGGATATGGGATATGGGGTACGGATATAGGGTATGGATATAGGATATGCAATATGGGCTATGGGGTATAGCCTATGGGGTATAGCTACAACACAGGGACATGGACACACACAGACCCCCACCAGCCCATGCCCACACTGACCCCCGGTCACCCGCAGGCCCCTAGAGGCACCCATTGACCCACAGCCACCAACCCATGGGCACCCACCACCACCCTCAGGGACCCCCAGTGCCCCATAGGCACCCATAGCCCCCAGCCCAGGGACCTGCACCTATGGACCCCCAAACCCCCATAGTGACCCACAGCGCCCCATAGACACCCATAGCCCCTCCCACTGCCCCCCCCCACGTGACCCCGTGACCCCGCCCACCGAGTAGGGGCGAGCTCATCCAGAGCGCCAGCGCCTCGGTGGCCACGGGCGGCAGCGACAGCGCCCCCTGCAGGCGGAGGAGCAGCTCCGCGGCCGTGGGGCCCGGCGGCGGCTCCAGGGGCAGCGGCACGGCCGAGGCGTCCGGTAGGTACAGGAGAGCTGGGGGGGGGCACCCATGGCGGGGGGGTCATGGGGGGGTCATCTATGGGAAGGGATCCCGGGGGGCACACATGGGTGGGAGTCATGGGGGGGTCATCTATGGGAAAGGGGCGCCGGGGGGCACCCATGGGTGGGGGTCATGGGAAGTCATCTATGGGAGAGAGTCCCAGGGGGCACCCATGGGTGGGGGTCATGGGGGGGTCATCTATGGGAGAGGGGTCCTGGGGGACATCCATGGGTGGGGGTCATGGGGAGTCATCTACGGGAGAGGGTTCCCAGGGGGCACCCATGGGTGAGGGTCATGGAGGGGGTCATCGATGGGAGAGGGGTCCCGGGGGGCACCCATGGGTGGGGGTCATGGGGGGGTCATCTATGGGAGAGGGGTCCCGGGGGGCACCCATGGGTGGGGGTCATAGGGAGGTCATCTATGGGAGAGGGGTCCCGGGGGGCACCCATGGGTGGGGGTCATGGGGGGGTCATCGATGGGAGAGGGGCGCCGGGAGGCACCCATGGGTGGGGGTCATGGGGTGTCATCTATGGGAAAGGGGTCCCGGGGGGCACCCATGGGTGGGGGCCATGGGGGGTTATCTATGGGAGAGGGGTCCCGGGGTGCACCCATGGGTGGGGGTCATTGGGGGGGCACGGATGGGGAGGAGCGCGGGGTCTTTGGGGGGGGGGGTCACGTGGGGGTGCAGAGAGGGGTGAGGGAGGTCACGGGGTCACCCACGGGGGGGGGCGTCTATTGGGGGAGGGGCACAGACGCAAGGACCCCGCCCCTCCCCTGCCCCTCCTCTCCCTCCGCCCCCTCCCACTCCCGGCCCCTCCCCCCTCACCGGTAGCACCGGGCGCCGCCGGCCCCTCCCCCTCCATGCCCGCAGCCGGGGTCACGCCGGTGTCAGCGCGCGGTTGGGGGGGTGGGGGGAAGTGCTGGGGTCACGCGGGGTCACGGCTCCCCGCACTCCTCGCGCCGCTCCCGCGCGCGGGTGGGAAAGAGTGGGGGAGGAAGTGACGTCACGGCCCGGCCCGCCCCGCTGGGCGGTGGCCTCGGGGAGGGAGGAAAAGAGGAGGAGGAGGAGCTGATGGCGCCCCCTGGAGGCGGGGAGGAGCTGGAGGGCCGGGATTCCGCCGGGGGGGGGAGGGTTCGGGTCTGGGGGGGTCTCTGGGGGGGTCCCGGTTTCGGCGCAGGAAGAGGCGGAGCCGCTGTACGAAGTATAGAACTGTGTATTCCTCTGTGCGCGGCGGGGGGCCCGGGGGGGGGCTCGTTTTGGGGGGGGGGCTCAGGTTTTTTGGGGGGGGTGGGGGGTCCGGGGAGGGGGGTCCCCCTTTGGGGGGGTCCCAGCCCCGATCGAGGCTTTTAAATTAAAAAAACCAAAACCCAAAACAGACCCGGGGGGGGAGGGGCGGTAAAAAAGAACCAATTTGGGGAGGGGTCAAGGAAGGGGGGGGCTGGGCCGCGTCCCCCGATCCCCTCCAGAGCCCCCCCTCCCCCCGTGCTCAGAGGATCCCCCCCCGCACCCCCTGTTCCCTTTTTGGGGGAGGGGGGGGGGACACACAGACAACCACAGAGGCCCCCCCCGGGTGCGGGGTGGGGGGGCGGGGTGGGTGGGGGAGGGGTGTTCTCACACACACACACACAGCCCGGGGGGAGGGGCAGGACACGCGCCCGTTGTGTGGTTGAATGGGGGGGGGCGGGTGTCGCTGGGGGGGGGCGGGGAAGGGGGGCTGCCCCCCCCCGTCAGACATAGTACTCCTTGTCCTTGTTCCGCCGGGCCTTGCCGGGCGCCTTGGGGGGCGCGGGGGGGGCTTTCTCCTTGGGGGTCCCCCCACCGGGGGTAGCGGCTGCGTTGGGGCCCCCCCCTTGGGTAACGCTGGCGGCGTTGGCGGCGTTGCCCGTAGCGGCGGCCCCGATGTAATGGCGGCTCTGGTCCACCTGGTAGGAGCCCTCGTCCCTGTTGCGGTACTTGTACATGGCGTAGAGCAGGATGAGGATGCAGAGCGCCGCGGCCGCCACGATGCCCACCACCATCCCCGTGGTGCCGCCGGCTTCGCGCACCACCTCCACGGCGCCGGGGACCGCGGCTGTGGGGACAGCACCGGGGCGAGCGGTCACGGGGGCTCCCGTCACCCTCCCGCGCCCCGCCGAGCCCTCCCGCGGGTGCCGTTCCCCGGCGGGCACCAGCCCCGGGAGCGGAGCGGCCACCACCGTGGCCACGGTGACGGCCCCGGGGCCGGGCTGGGTGTGGGCGGAGCCGCCGTCGGTGGGGCGGCGCGGGGGGGGGGTTTCTCCTCCGCCGAAGTCCTCGTCGTCGGCAGGGGGCGCGTTGGGATCGGCCGCTTCCCCCGAGGCGAAGCCCGAGGGCTCCTCGCAGTCGGGGCCGCACGATGCGGGCGAGCGGGGGGACCCCGCGGGGCGAGGAGGGGGGGACACGGGGCCCCCCCCCACCGGGGCCGCCGGCAGCACCAATTCACCGCCTGCAGAGACACAAAACGGGGGGGGGGCGGGGAGGAGACAGGGGAGAGGGGGGGGTCCAAATGAGCCCCTGGCCCTGCCCCCCCCGGCCCCCCGACCTCCCCCCCGCCGCCGCCGCCGCTTCTCGAGCCGTGTTATGAGCATTATCATTACGATTATTAATTAAGGCTACGTTAATGTGCGCTTCGATAAGAGCAAACCGCGGCGCTGCCACAACTTACATGGCGGGATGGGGCCGGGTGATTTTAGCGTGGAGGAAAAAGGAATTGCAGGAAGGAAGGGAAAGCACCCAAAAAAACAACAAACACAGGAGAGAGAGAGAACAGAGTGAGAGAAACAGAACACAAAGGAAAAGGAGAGAAGAGACACTCGGTGAGAAGGTGCCAACGGGCAGCCCTGAGCCGGCCCCGGCCCGACAGCGGCAGCAGCCAGCGGGAGCCGCGGAGCCCCGCACCGGTGCGCCAGCAACAGCCATGGGAACAGCCAACGTCACCCAATCATCAGCTGTGGATGCATCATCCATTGTCAGCCATCGTCTGTCCATCATCCATCCATCCATCCATCCATCCATCCATCCATCCATCATCCATCATCCATCCATCCATCCATCATCCATCCATCCATCATCCATCCATCCATCATCCATCATCCATCCATCATCCATCATCCATCCATCATCCATCCATCCATCATCCATCCATCATCCATCCATCATCCATCCATCATCCATCCATCCATCATCCATCATCCATCCATCATCCATCCATCCAACATCCATCATCCATCCATCATCCATCCATCCATCATCCATCCATCATCCATCCATCCATCCATCATCCATCCATCATCCATCCATCCATCCATCCATCCATCATCCATCATCCATCCATCCATCCATCCATCATCCATCATCCATCCATCATCCATCCATCATCCATCCATCCATCATCCATCATCCATCCATCATCCATCATCCATCCATCATCCATCCATCCATCCATCCATCCATCCATCCATCCATCATCCATCCATCCATCATCCATCCATCCATCATCCATCCATCCATCATCCATCATCCATCCATCCATCCATCATCCATCCATCCATCATCCATCATCCATCATCCATCCATCCATCCATCCATCATCCATCATCCATCCATCATCCATCCATCCATCATCCATCCATCCATCATCCATCATCCATCCATCATCCATCCATCCATCCATCCATCCATCCATCATCCATCCATCCATCATCCATCCATCCATCATCCATCATCCATCCATCATCCATCATCCATCATCCATCCATCCATCCATCCATCCATCCATCATCCATCCATCCATCATCCATCCATCCATCATCCATCCATCCATCCATCCATCATCCATCATCCATCATCCATCATCCATCCATCCATCCATCCATCCATCCATCATCCATCCATCCATCATCCATCCATCCATCCATCCATCCATCATCCATCCATCCATCATCCATCCATCCATCATCCATCCATCCATCCATCATCATCCATCATCCATCCATCATCCATCCATCCATCATCCATCCATCCATCATCCATCATCCATCCATCATCCATCCATCCATCCATCCATCCATCCATCATCCATCCATCCATCATCCATCCATCCATCATCCATCATCCATCCATCCATCCATCATCCATCATCCATCCATCCATCCATCCATCCATCCATCCATCATCCATCATCCATCCATCATCCATCATCCATCCATCCATCCATCCATCCATCCATCCATCATCCATCATCCATCCATCATCCATCATCCATCCATCCATCATCCATCCATCCATCATCCATCATCCATCCATCCATCCATCCATCATCCATCCATCCATCATCCATCATCCATCCATCATCCATCCATCATCCATCATCCATCCATCCATCCATCCATCATCCATCCATCCATCATCCATCATCCATCCATCCATCCATCCATCATCCATCCATCCATCATCCATCATCCATCCATCATCCATCCATCATCCATCATCCATCCATCATCCATCCATCCATCATCCATCCATCCATCCATCATCCATCATCCATCATCCATCCATCCATCATCCATCCATCCATCATCCATCCATCCATCCATCATCCATCCATCCATCATCCATCCATCCATCCATCATCCATCCATCCATCATCCATCCATCCATCATCCATCCATCCATCCATCATCCATCATCCATCATCCATCCATCCATCATCCATCCATCATCCATCCATCCATCCATCATCCATCCATCCATCATCCATCCATCCATCCATCATCCATCCATCCATCCATCCATCCATCCATCCATCCATCCATCATCCATCCATCCATCATCCATCATCCATCCATCCATCATCCATCCATCATCCATCCATCCATCCATCCATCATCCATCCATCCATCATCCATCCATCCCTTGCTCCATCCCTGCCTCCATCCCTGGCTGGATCCAGCCTCGGCTCCCCCCTTTCTCCGTCCTCTCTCCATTGTCCGTCCATTGTCCGTCTGTCCCTGTGTCTGCCCCCAACTGCTGCTGCCCTCTTCCATTGACTCGAAGGCAAATTGGGAGGTCCATGGGACACCCATGGGTGCTGTGGGGTCCAGGGGACACCCCGGGGTGCCGGGGGGTCCATGAGACACCCATGGGTGCTGTGGGGTCCAGGGGACACCGATGGGCGCTGGAGGGGGGGGTGTTACAGGGACACCGACGGGTGCTGGGGGGAGTGGGTGTATAGGACACCCATGGGTGTTGGGGGGGGTGGGTGTATAAGACACCCATGGGTGCTGGGGAAGCCAAGGGGTCTATGGGACACCCATGGGTGCTGGGGGGCTCCATGGGGAGCCCATGGGTGCTGGAGGTGACCAAGGGACACCTACAGGTGCTGGAGGGGAACAAGAAGTCCATGAGGCACCCACAGGTGCTGGGGGTGTCCATGGGACCCCCATGGGTGCTGGGGGGAACAAGAGGCCCATTGGATACACATGGGTGTGGGGGTGTCCATGGGGCAGCCTTGAGTGCTGGGGGGTGCCTGTGTTGGGACTCGGGGCCCCCCTGTCCATCCCTTGTCCATTCAGTCCATGAGGGGGGGCTGCGAGGGGCACACGCGTGTGCACGGACAGGGGGGAGCACGTGTGTGCAGGCATGTGAGGGGTGGGGCTGTGGGGGGCACACGCGTGTGTGAGCGCTCTGCACGTGTGGTCACGCGTGTGCATGCCTGGCATTGAGCACACGCATGTGACTGTGAACACATGTGTGCGAGTGATTGTGTGTTATTGTGCACACGTGTGACTGTGAACACATGTGCGAGTGATTGTGTGTTATTGTGCACACGTGTGTGTGACTGAACACATGTGATTGTTATTGTGCACACGCGTGTGACTGTACACGTGTGTGACTGTAAACACGTGTGTGCGATTGTGTTATTGTGCACACGCGTGTGACTGTACACGTGTGTGACTGTGAACACGTGTGTGCGATTGTGTTACTGTGCACACGTGTGTGACTGTACACGTGTGTGACTGTGAACACGTGTGTGCGAGTGATTGTGTTATTGTGCACACGTGTGACTGTGAACACATGTGCGAGTGATTGTTATTGTGCACACACGTGTGTGACTGTACACATGTGTGACTGTGAACACGTGTGTGCGAGTGATTGTGTGTTATTGTGCACACACGTGTGACTGAACACGTGTGTGCGAGTGATTGTTACTGTGCACATGCGTGTGACTGTACATGTGACTGATCACATGTGTGCGAGTGATTGTGTTATTGTGCACACGTGTGTGTGACTGTACATGTGTATGTGACTGATCACGTGTGTGCGAGTGATTGTGTGTTATTGTGCTCACGCGTGACTGTACACCTGTGTATGACTGTGAACACGTGTGTGCGAGTGATTGTGTGTTGTGCACATGCGTGACTGTCAACACGTGTGTGATTGTGTTATTGTGCACATGTGTGACTGCACACGTGTGACTGTAAACACATGTGCGAGTGATTGTGTGTTGTGCACACGCATGTGACTGTACACGTGTGTGTGGCTGATCGTGTGTGTGATTGTGTTATTCTGCACGTGTGTGACTAAACACGTGTGTGCGATTGTGTTACTGTGCACGTGTGACTGTAAACACGTGTGCGATTGTGTTATTGTGCACATGTGACTGCACACTTGTGTGTGACTGAACATGTGTGTGCGAGTGAATGTGCACAAGCGAGTGTCATTGTGCACACGTGTGTGACTGATCATGTGTGTGACTGAACACGTGTAATTGTGCACAAGTGTGTTATTGTGTACGTGTGTGTGACTGATCATGTGTGTGTGTCCCTCATCATGTGTGTCAATGATCACGTGTGTGTCCCTGGTCATGTGTGTGATTGATCATGTGTGTGTCCCTCATCACGTGTGCCCCTGATCACGTGTGTGTGTCCCTCATCACGTGTGTGTCCCTGATCACGTGTGTGTGTGTCAATGATCACGTGTGTGTCCCCCTCATCACGTGTGTGTCCCTGATCACGTGTGTGTGTCCCTGATCACGTGTGTGTCCTTGATCATGTGTGTGTGTCCCTGATCACGTGTGTGTGTCCCTGATCACGTGTGTGTCCCTGATCACGTGTGTCCCTGATCACGTGTGTGTCCCTGGTCACGTGTGTGTGTCCCTGATCACGTCTGTGTCCCTGATCACGTGTGTGTCCCTGATCATGTGTGTGTGTCCCTGATCACGTGTGTGTGTCCCTGATCACGTGTGTGTGTCCCTGATCACGTGTGTCCCTGATCACGTGTGTGTCCCTGGTCACGTGTGTGTGTCCCTGATCACGTCTGTGTCCCTGATCACGTGTGTGTCCCTGATCATGTGTGTGTGTCCCTGATCACGTGTGTGTGTCCCTGGTCACGTGTGTGTGTCCCTCATCACGTGTGTCCCTGATCACGTGTGTGTGTCCCTGATCACGTGTGTGTGACTGATCATGTGTGTCCCTCATCATGTGTGTCCCTGATCACGTGTGTGTGTCCCTGATCACAGTGATCAATGTGTGTCCCATCTGATGACAGCACAGCGGTGGATGTGCTCTACCTCGACTTCAGCAAAGCGTTTGACACGGTCTCCACAGCACCCTCACAGCTACATTGAGGCAGTGTGGTCTGGATGATCGGGTAGTGAGGTGGACTGTGAACTGGCTGAAGGAGAGAAGCCAGAGAGTTGTAGTCTATGGGGCGGAGTCTAGTTGGAGGCCTGTATCTAGTGGAGTGCCTCAAGGGTCGGTACTGGGACCAGTATTATTTAATATATTCATCAACGATTTAGATGAGGGAATTGAGTGTACTATCAGCAAGTTTGCTGATGACACTAAGCTGGGAGGGGTGGCCGACACGCCAGAAGGCTGTGCTGCCATCCAGAGGGACCTGGACAGGCTGGAGAGCTGGGCGGGGAATAACTTGATGAAATATAACAAGGGAAAGTGTAGAGTCCTGCATCTGGGCAGGAACAACCCCAGGTTCCAGTATAGTTTGGGGAACAACCTGTTAGAGAGCAGTGTAGGGGAGAGGGACCTGGGGGTCCTGGTGGACGACAGGGTGACCATGAGCCGACACTGTGCCCTTGTGGCCAAGAAGGCCAATGGCGTCCTGGGGTGTATTAGAAGGGGGGTGGTTAGTAGGTCGAGAGGGGTCCTCCTTCCCCTCTACTCTGCCCTGGTGAGACCTCATCTGGAATATTGTGTCCAGTTCTGGGCCCCTCAGTTTAAGAAGGACAGGGTCCTGCTGGAGAGAGTCCAGCGCAGGGCAACTGAGATGATTAAGGGAATGGAGCATCTCCCTTATGAGGACAGACTGAGGGAGCTGGGTCTCTATAGTTTGGAGAAGAGGAGATTGAGGGGTGACCTTATTAGTGTATATAAATATATAAAGGGGGAGTGTCCCGAGGATGGAGCCAGGCTCTTCTCAGTGGCAAACAATGATAGGACAAGGGGTAATGGGTACAAACTGGAACACAAGAGGTTCCACTTCAACTCCTTCTCAGTGAGGGTGACAACACTGGACCAGGCTGCCCAGGGAGGCTGTGGGGTCTCCTTCTCTGGAGCCATTCAAAACCCGTTCCTGTGTAACCTTATCTGGCTGTTCCTGTTCCATAGGGGGATTGGACTGGATGAGCTTTTGAGGTCCCTTCCAGTCTCTAACATACTGTGATACTGTGATACTGTGATCACGTGTGTGTGTCCCTGATCACGTGTGTCCCTCATCACGTGTGTGTGTCCCTGATCACGTGTGTGTGTCCCTGATCACGTGTGTGTGTCCCTCATCACGTGTGTGTGTCCCTCATCACGTGTGTGTGTCCCTGATCACGTGTGTGTGTCCCTCATCACGTGTGTGTGTCCCTGATCACGTGTGTGTGTCCCTCATCACGTGTGTGTGTCCCTGATCACGTGTGTGTGTCCCTCATCACGTGTGTCCGTGATCACGTGTGTGTGTCCGTGATCACGTGTGTGTGTCCCTCATCACGTGTGTGTGTCCCTGATCACGTGTGTGTGTCCCTCATCACGTGTGTGTGTCCCTCATCACGTGTGTGTGTCCCTGATCACGTGTGTGTCCCTGGTCACGTGTGCGTGTCCCTGATCACGTGTGTGTGTCCCTGATCACGTGTGTGTGTCCCTCATCACGTGTGTGTGTCAGCAGCGCGCCCGCTGCCCGTGCACACCGGGGGGGCCGCACACGCGTGTGCCCGGTGCCGCGCTCTGGGGTCCCCCCGGGCCCGGGCCCGGAGCAGCACCCACCTGTGCCCGGCTCGCACTCCTCCAGGTCCTCGTCGTCGCTCGGGCACTCGGCCGAGGCCACCAGCAAATCATCCGTGTTCTGCGGGGACAGCGCGGGCTGCGGGCGCTGCGCAAACCGCCCCAAAACAGCCCCAAACAGCCAGAAACAGCCCCAAAACAGCCTGAAACAGCCCCAAAACAGCCTGAAACAGCCCCAAACACCTCCACAGCAGCCCCGAACACACCTAAACCAGACAGAAACAGCCTAAAACGGCCCCAAACACCCCCAAAACAGCCAAAAACAGCCTAAAACGGCCCCAAACACCCCCAAAACAGCCTAAAACAAACAGCCCTAAACACCCCCAAACCAGGGAGAAACAGCCTAAAACAGCCCCAAACCAGCCAGAAACACCCCCAAAACAGCCTAAAACTGCTCCAAACACCCCCAAAACAGCCCCGAACACACCTAAACCAGCCAGAAACAGCCTAAACCGGCCCCAAAACAGCCCCAAACACCCATAAACCAGCCAGAAACAACCTAAAACAGCCCCAAACACCCCCAAAACAGCCAGAAACAGCCTAAAACAGCCCCAAAACACACCCAAACCAGCCAGAAACAGCCTAAAACAGCCCCAAAACAGCCAGAAACAGCCTAAAACAGCCTAAAACAGCCCCAAAACATCCAGAAACAGCCTAACACAGCCCAAAACACCCCCAAAACACTCCAAAACACCCCCAAACCAGCCCTGAAACAGCCTAAAACAGCCCCAAACAGCCCCAAAACAGCCAGAAACAGTGTAAACCAGCCCCAAACCAGCCCCAAACACCCCCAAACCAGCGAGAAACAGCCTAAAACAGCCCCCAAAACCCCCAAACCAGCCAGAAACAGCCTAAAACATCCCCAAAACTCCCCCAAAACAGCCCCAAACACCCCCAAAACAGCCAGAAACAGCCTAAAACAGCCCCAAACACCCCCAAACAGCCAGAAACAGCCTAAAACAGCCCCAAAACAGACCCAAACACCCCAAAACAGCCAGAAACAGCCTAAAACAGCCCCAAAACAGACCCAAACACCCCAAAACAGCCACAAACACCCCAAAAACAGCCACAAAAAGCGCAAACCAGCCCCAAACACCCCCAAAACAGCCAGAAACAGCCTAAAACAGCCCCAAACACTCCCAAAACAGCCCTGAACACCCCGAAACCAGCGAGAAACAGCCTAAAACAGCCCCAAACACCCCCAAAACAGCCAGAAACAGCCTAAACCAGCCAGAAACAGCCTAAAACAGCCCCAAAACATCCAGAAACGGCCTAAAACAGCCCCCAAAACATCCAGAAACGGCCTAAAACAGCCCCAAAACAGCCAGAAACAGCCTAAAACAGCCCTAAACACCCCCAAAACAGCCCCAGACACCCCCAAAACAGCCAGAAACAGCTTAAAACAGCCCCAAACGCTACGAAAACACCCAGAAACACCCCAGAAACAGCTTAAAACAGTCCAAAACACCCCCAAAACACCCAGAAAACCTCCAAACCACCGTGAAACACCCACAGAACAGCCTAAACCATCCCAAAACACCCCGAAAACACCCAGATACGGCCTAAACCAGCCCCAAAACACCCACAAAACAGCCAGAAACAGCCTGAAAACACCCAGAAACAGCCTCAAACAGTTCAAAACAGTCTGAAAACACCCAGAAACAGCTTAAAACAGCCAAAAATAGCCCCAAAGCACCCAGAAACTGCCTAAAACAGCCCAAAACACACCAAAACCAGCTGAAAACACCCCAAAACCTACCCCAAACCAGCCAAACCAGCTGAAAACCAGCTCAAAAGACACCCAGAAACAGCCTAAACCAGCCCAAAACACCGCAAAACCAGCTAGAAACACCCCCAAAACAGCCTAAAACAGGCAAAACCACCCCAAAACAGCCGAAAACACCCCAAAACTAGCCAAAACCAGCTCAAAACACCACCAAAACAGCCTAAAACAGCCCAAAACGCCACAAAACACCCCAAACCAACTCCAAAAAAACCCAAAACCAGCCAAAGAAACCCCAAACCACCCGAAACCAGCCCAGAAACACCTCAGAACACTCCAAAGCCACAGCAATACCCCCCAAAATACTCTTAAAACACCTCAAATCACCCCAAAACCAGCCCCAAACACTTCAAAATACACCTCAAAGCACCCCAAAACCACCCAAAACCCAGCCCCATATATCCCAAAACCACCCCAAAACCAGCCCAAAGGCACCCACTGGGTACTGGGGAACCTTCTCGACATCCAAAACCCCCCAAAATACCCGAACTCAGCCAAAGACACCCCAATCACAGCCAAACCCCCCTGCAAAGCACCCAAGGACACCCAATGGGTGCTGGGGGACCCCAAAGACCCCTCAAAGACACCCAGAGACACCCAAAAACCCCTTCAAAGCCACTCAATGGGTGCTGGGGAACCCCAAAGACCCCCTGTAAGACACCCAAAACCCGCCAAAAGCCCCCCCAATGGGTGCTGGGGGACCCCAAAGACCCCTTAAAGACACTCAAAACACCCCCAAAGCCACTCAATGGGTACTGGGGGACCCCATAGACCCCCTGTAAGACACCCAAAACCCTTCAAAGCCCCCCAGTGGGTGCTAGGGGACCCCAAAGACCCCTCAAAGACATCCAAAAACCCCCCAAAGCCCCTCTATGGGTGCTGGGGGACCCCAAAGACCGCCAAAGACTCCTCAAAGACACCCAAAGACACCCAAAAACCCCTTCAAAGCCACTCAATGGGTGCTGGGGGACCCCAAAGACCCCCCCCAAGGCCCCCAATGGGTGCTGGGGAACCCGAAAGACCCCTCAAAGACAACCAAAACCTCTTCAAAGCCCTCTAATGGGTGCTGGGGAACCCCATAGACCCAAAGCCCCCCCCAATGGGTGCTGGGGAACCCCGTAGACCCAAAGCCCCCCCCAGTGGGTGCTGGGGGACCCCATAGACCCAAAGCCCCCCCCCAATGGGTGCTGGGGAACCCCAAAGATCCCCCTGCAAAGCCCCCCCATGGGTGCTGGGGGACCCCATAGACCCAAAGCCCCCCCGAATGGGTGCTGGGGAACCCCACAGAGCTGCCCCCAAGCCCCTCAATGGGTGCTGGGTGACCCCATAGACCCAAAGCCCCCCAATGGGTGCTGGGTGACCCCAACCCCCCCCCATGGGTACCGCCCCCCCCGTACCTGTGCCACGGTGTCCCGCAGGGTGGGCGAGCGCCCTCTGCGCGTGGTGGTGGTGGCCATGGTGGTGGTGGTCTCCATGATGGTGGTGGCCATGTCCGGGGGGGCGGGGGTAGCCCCGGGGGGGGCGGGGGGGGGCGGGGGCGGGGCCGCCCCCACGAGGCGGAGGTCGCCCTCGACGCGCACCCGGGGGTGCCCCTCGGCCGCCAGCGCCAGGAGCTTGAGGCCGTTGTAGTAGAGCCCCGAGAGCTGGCCCTGGAAGGGGCGGCCCCGGTCCCGGCCCCCGACGCGCACCGAGGCCTGGCTGTTGAAGATGGTGAGCTGGCGGCCTGGGGGGAGGGGAGAGGGGGGGTAACCTGGGGTACGGGGGGAATGGGGGGATGGGCTGTTGAAGATGGTGAGCTGGCGGCCTGGGGGGGGGGAGAGAGAGAGGGTACCCTGGGGTACGGAGCAGGAGGGGTTATGGGGTATGGGCTGTTGAAGATGGTGAGCTGGCGGCCTGGGGGGAGAGGGGGATGGTAAACTGGGGTACGGGGGGGAATGGGTTATGGATGGGCTGTTGAAGATGGTGAGCTGGCGGCCTGGGGGAGAGGGCGCGGGGGGGGAGATGGTAACCTGGGGTATGGGGGTGGGGGGTTATGGGGGGATGGGCTGTTGAAGATGGTGAGCTGGCGGCCTGGGGGGAGAGGGGGATGGTAAACTGGGGTACGGGGGGGAATGGGGGATGGGCTGTTGAAGATGGTGAGCTGGCGGCCTGGGGGGGGGGAGATGGTAAACTGGGGTACGGGGGGTATGGGGGGATGGGCTGTTGAAGATGGTGAGCTGGCGGCCTGGGGGGAGAGGGGGGGATGGTACCCTGGGGTACAGGGGGAATGGGGGGGGGAGCAGGGGTTATGGGGTGATGGACAAGGGTTATGGGGGGATGGGCTGTTGAAGATGGTGAGCTGGCGGCCTGGGGGAGGGGAGAGAGGGGGGGATGGTAACCTGGGGTACGGGGGGGAATGGGGAGCAGGAGGGGTATGGGGGGATGCACAAGGGCTGTGATGCACAAGGGTTATGGGGGATGAACAAGGGATGTGATGCACAAGGGTTATGGGGGATGAACAAGGGATGTGATGCACAAGGGTTATGGGGGATGAACAAGGGATGTGATGCACAAGGGTTATGGGGGGATGAACAAGGGATGTGATGCACAAGGGTTATGGGGGATGAACAAGGGATGTGATGCACAAGGGTTATGGGGGATGAACAAGGGATGTGATGCACAAGGGTTATGGGGGGATGCACAAGGGATGTGATGCACAAGGGTTATGGGGGGATGAACAAGGGATGTGATGCACAAGGGTTATGGGGTGATGAACAAGGGATGTGATGCACAAGGGTTATGGGTGATGAACAAGGGATGTGATGCTCAAGGGTTATGGGGGATGCACAAGGGATGTGATACAGAGGTGCCATGGGGTGTGCAGTGTATACAGGCCATGGGGTGATGCACAAGGGTCATGGGGTGCGATGCACACCAAGCGCCTCCCCTCTATCCCCCCTCCCCTCCCCCCCCCGGTGCCGCTGTGGGTTTATGCTGGTTTAGGCTGGTTTATGCTGGTTTAGGGCCGGGGCCGGCAGCACTCAAAGGGTTAAAGCGCGGTTTAAGGGGCCGTTAATGGGGCTGCGCCCCCAGCGATCAATGGGGTCAATGGGGACAATGGGGTCAATGGGACCCCCCCTCCCTGGACAACGGGGTCCTGGGGATGTGGGACCCGGATCCATGGGGCCGGGGGTCTGGGTCCTCAACAATGTGGGGCCCGGACACCCTCATCCCCTGGAGCTGCAGGGCCCAGATCTATGGGTCCAGAGACCTGCGAGCCCCAGATCCGTGGGTCCTCAGCCCCGAAGCCCCCAGATCCATGGGGCCCAGCTGCCTGGCTCCCCACATCCGTGGCTGCGCAGACCTATGGGCCCCACATCTCTGGGGCTCCAGCTCTCCGGACGCCCACACCCATGGGTGCCCGGATGTGCGGGTCCCAGCCCCGTGGGCGCGGGTGCTGTGGGGCGCTAGGGGGGCGCCGTGGGGCGCTGTGGGGCGGGCGGGGGGTGCTCTCTGCCCGGTTACCTTTGTCGAGCAGCCACTCATCGACCACCCGCCCCAGGCGGAAGGGGATGCGCTGCCGCGCCAGCGCCAGCCGCTCGCTGTCCCCGCTGCCTTCGGAGGGAGGAGAAGAGCGTTATGGGGCCGGGCCAGGGCGGCACCACCATGGGGCCATGGGGCCACCACTGGCATTGCCAGCACGGAGCCACGGTGGCATCGCCATTGGCATCACCATGATGCTGTACAGGGTCATCATTGGCATCACCATCATGGAGCCACGGTGGCATCGCCATTGGCATCGCCATTGGCATCATCATGGAACCATGGTGGCATCGCCATTGGCGTCATTATCATGGAACCATGGTGGCATCGCCATTGGCATCATCATCATGGAACCACGGTGGCATCGCCATTGGCGTCATCATGGAACCACGGTGGCATCACCATTGGCATCATCATGGAACCATGGTGGCATCGCCATTGGCATCAGCATCATGGAACCACGGTGGCATCACCATTGGCATCGCCATTGGCGTCATTATCATGGAACCATGGTGGCATCGCCATTGGCATCGCCAGCATCGGACCACGGTGGCATCGCCATTGGCATCATCCTCATGGAACCACGGTGGCATCACCATTGGCATTGCCATTGGCATCATCATGGAACCATGGTGGCATCGCCATTGGCATCATCATGGAACCATGGTGGCATCGCCATTGGCATCATCATCATGGAACCACGGTGGCATCGCCATTGGCATCAGCATCATGGAACCACGGTGGCATCGCCGTTGGCGTCATCATCATGGAACCATGGTGGCATCGCCATTGGCATCATCATCATGGAACCATGGTGGCATCGCCATTGGCATCATCATCATGGAACCACGGTGGCATCGCCATTGGCATCAGCATCATGGAACCACGGTGGCATCGCCGTTGGCGTCATCATCATGGAACCATGGTGGCATCGCCATTGGCATCATCATCATGGAACCACGGTGGCATCGCCATTGGCATCAGCATCATGGAACCACGGTGGCATCGCCGTTGGCGTCATCATCATGGAACCATGGTGGCATCGCCATTGGCATCATCATCATGGAACCACGGTGGCATCGCCGTTGGCATCATCATCATGGAACCATGGTGGCATCGCCATTGGCATCAGCATCATGGAACCACGGTGGCATCGCCGTTGGCGTCATCATCATGGAACCATGGTGGCATCGCCATTGGCATCGCCAGCATCAGACCACGGTGGCATCGCCATTGGCATCATCCTCATGGAACCACGGTGGCATCACCATTGGCATCGCCATTGGCATCATCATCATGGAACCATGGTGGCATCGCCATTGGCATCATCATGGAACCATGGTGGCATCGCCATTGGCATCACCATTGGCATCACCACGATGTTCCACAGGGTCACCACTGGCATCGCCAGCAAGGAACCATGGTGGTATCACCATTGGCATCACCATTATGGAACCATGGTGGGATCATGGTGTCACTGATGGCATCACCATTGGCATCACCGTGGTGTTCCACAAGATCACCATTGGTGTCACTATCATGGAACCATGGTGAGGTCACGGTGTCACTGGTGGCATCAGGATCACAGTGGTGACGGTGGCATTGCCATTGGCATCACCACTGACATCACCATCGGCATGGCCATCGTGGAACCATGGTGGGATCACCACTGGTGTCATCACTGACATCACCATGGGCATCACCATTGGCATCACCACTGGCATCACCATTGGCATCACCATCATGGAACCATGGTGACATCACCACTGGCATCACCATTATGGAACCATGGTGGCATCACCACTGGCGTCATCACTGACATCACCATTGGCATCACCATGGGCATCACCACGGTGTCACCATGGGCATCATGGGGGAACCGCGGTGTCACCACCACATCCCCGCTGTCACCATAGGGGGTCTGGGGGGGGGTTTAGGTGGCGTTTAGGGGGGCGTTAGGGGGGGTGTCCCCGGGGTCCCCTCATGCCCATCGTTAGTGCCCTGGTTAGGGGGGACCCTAATTAGGGGAGGAGCCACTCATTAGGGGGCTGCAGGGGTGCTATGGGGGGCTATAGGGTGTCTATAGGATGCCTATAGGGGTGCTGTGGGGGTCCTGTAGGTGCCCTGGGGATGTCATGGGGGTGCTGTAGGGTGCCCCTTGGCGCTATGGGGCACTGTGGGGTGCTCTGGAGGTGCCTTAGGGGTGCTGTAAGGACACAGCAGGGTGCAGTGGGGTGCCCATAGGTGCCATAGGGGTGCTGTAGGGTGCCTGTATGTGCCATAGGGGCGCAGCATGGCACAGTGGGGTGTCTTTAAGTGCCATAGGGGTGCAGTGGGGTGCATGTCTGTGCTCTGGGGGTGCCTTAGGGGTGTTCTAGGCGGCCTGTATGGGCCATAGGGGTGCTATAGGGGAGCCATAAAGTGCCTTAGGGGTGCCATAGGGTGCTTATATGTGCTATAGAGTGCTATAGGGGTGCCATAGGGTGCTATAGGGGTGCCATAGGGACCCTGTACGTGCCATAGGAGTGCCATAGGGACCCTGTATGTGCTATAGAGGTGCCATAGGGGTGCCATAGGGACCCTGTACGTGCCATAGGGGTGCCATAGGGTTCCTGTATGTGCTATAGGGGTGCCATAGGGGTGCTATAGGGGTCCCATAGGGTGCCTGTATATGCTATAGGGTGCCATAGGGACCCTGTATGTGCTATAGGGGTGCCATAGGGTCTCTCTATGTGCCATAGGGGTGCTATAGGGTCTCTCTATGTGCCATAGGGGTGCTATAGGGGTGCCATAGGGTCTCTCTATGTGCCGTAGGGGTGCTATAGGGGTGCTATAGGGTCTCTCTATGTGCCATAGGGGTGCTATAGGGGTGCCATAGGGGTGCTATAGGGGTGCCATAGGGTCTCTCTATGTGCCATAGGGGTCCATAGGGTCTCTCTATGTGCCATAGGGGTGCTATAGGGTCCCTCTATGTGCTATAGGGTCCCTGTACATGCCATAGGGGTGCCATAGGGTCTCTCTATGTGCCATAGGGGTGCTATAGGGGTACATAGGGGTGCCATAGGGGTGCTATAGGGGTGCCATAGGGTCTCTCTATGTGCCATAGGGGTCCATAGGGTCTCTCTATGTGCCATAGGGGTGCTATAGGGTCCCTCTATGTGCTATAGGGTCCCTGTACATGCCATAGGGGTGCCATAGGGTCTCTCTATGTGCCATAGGGGTGCTATAGGGGTCCATAGGGTCTCTCTATGTGCCATAGGGGTGCTATAGGGGTCCATAGGGTCTCTCTATGTGCCATAGGGGTGCCATAGGGTCTCTCTATGTGCCATAGGGGTGCTATAGGGGTTCATAGGGTCTCTCTATGTGCCATAGGGGTGCCATAGGGGTGCCATAGGGTCTCTCTATGTGCCATAGGGGTGCTATAGGGTCTCTCTATGTGCCATAGGGGTGCCATAGGGTCTCTCTATGTGCCATAGGGGTGCTATAGGGGTTCATAGGGTCTCTCTATGTGCCATAGGGGTGCCATAGGGGTGCCATAGGGATGCCATAGGGGTGCCATAGGGGTTCATAGGGTCTCGTGATAGGGGTGCTATAGGGGTGCTATAGGGTCTCTCTATGTGCCATAGGGGTGCTACAGGGTCTCTCTATGTGCCATAGGGGTGCCATAGGGGTGCTATAGGGTCTCTCTATGTACCATAGGGGTGCTATAGGGTCTCTCTATGTGCCATAGGGGTGCTATAGGGGTGCCATAGGGTCTCTCTATGTACCATAGGGGTGCTACAGGGTCTCTCTATGTGCCATAGGGGTGCTATAGGAGTGCCATAGGGTCTCTCTATGTACCATAGGGGTGCTACAGGGTCTCTCTATGTGCCATAGGGGTGCTATAGGAGTGCCATAGGGTCTCTCTATGTACCATAGGGGTGCTACAGGGTCTCTCTATGTGCCATAGGGGTGCTATAGGAGTGCCATAGGGTCTCTCTATGTACCATAGGGGTGCTACAGGGTCTCTCTATGTGCCATAGGGGTGCTATAGGAGTGCCATAGGGTCTCTCTATGTACCATAGGGGTGCTACAGGGTCTCTCTATGTGCCATAGGGGTGCTATAGGAGTGCCATAGGGTCTCTCTATGTACCATAGGGGTGCTACAGGGTCTCTCTATGTGCCATAGGGGTGCTATAGGAGTGCCATAGGGTCTCTCTATGTACCATAGGGGTGCTACAGGGTCTCTCTATGTGCCATAGGGGTGCTATAGGAGTGCCATAGGGTCTCTCTATGTACCATAGGGGTGCTACAGGGTCTCTCTATGTGCCATAGGGGTGCTATAGGGGTCCATAGGGTCTCTCTATGTGCCGCAGGGCTCCCGCGGGTCCCCGTTGCGGCGCGGGGGGTACCTGGGGGGTAGCGCTCGTGCAGGGGGCCCCCGTCCAGCTGCAGGGTGGCGTTGCCCCCGCTGCGGGTGAAGCGCACGACGTGGAAGCGGCCGTCGCTGACGGGGGCCGCGCGCTCCTCCAGGGCGATGTCCTCGGTGCCCACGTTGAAGAGCACCCCCACGGCCCCCTCAGCCTGCGCGGGGGGGAGGGGCGCTGTGGGGCTGGGACCCACAAGTGACCCATACACACACACACACTATGGGGTGTGCTGCAGGGGGGAGCAGCAGCAACACCCGTAGCAACAGGAACCCCCAATGGAACCTTCGCCACCCATAGGCACATAACACCCCATAGGCGCATAACACCCCATAGGCACATAACACCCCATAGCCCCATCACCCCCCATAGCTCAGTACCCCCCATAGCCCCATCACCTCCCCATAACCCCATTACCCCCCTAGACCCATCATCCCCCATACCCCATTACCCCCCATAGCCCCATTACCCCCCTAGACCCAACACCCCCATAGCCCCAGTACTCCCCATAGCCTCAACACCCCCCATAGCCCCAGTACCCCTCCATAGCCCCAACACTCCCCATAGCCCCATTATCCCCCATACCCCATTACCCCCCATAGCCCCAGTACTCCCCATACCCCAGTACCCCCCATATCCCATTACCCCCCATACCCCATTACCCCATAGCCCCATTACCTCCCATACCCCATTACCCCCCATAGCCCCATTACCCCCCATAGCCCCATTACCCCCATACCCCATTACCCCCCATAGCCCCATTACCCCCCATAGCCCCATTACCCCCCATAGCCCATGGGGACCCATAGACCCAACACCCCCCATAGCCCCAGTACTCCCCATAGCCCCATCACTCCCCATAGCCCCATCACCCCCATTCCCACCATGCCCCAAACGCCCCCCTCAAGCCCCCAACTCCCCTGTCCCCCCTTTTCAATGTGGAGCTACAGGCAGGCCCCCACCCCCCCATGACCCCCATACCCTGCACACCCCCATCACCCTCATAGCCCCCCATCACCCCCATGTCCCCATCACCCCCATGTCCCCCCATCACCCCATAACCCCCATTCCCTCCATCACTCCCATACCCATCAGGTCCCCATAGCCCCCCCTGTGCCATACAATGTGGAGCTGCAGGAAGTCCCCCATTGCCCCCATAGGTCCCCATGCCCCCATAGCTCAATGCCCCCCATATCCCCATACTTCCTCTTCTCCCCCGTGCACCCCATACCCATCCATAGCCCCCCATAGTGCTCCATGCCCCCATAGCCCCCAAATACCCACCCCATGCACATGCTATGTGCAGCTGCAGGATGTTGCCCATAGCCCCCCATATCCCCATAGCCCCGTGTGCACCCCATCACCCCCATGGCCCCATAGCCCCCATGTCCCCATAGCTCCATAGACCCCCATACACCCCCTCACCTCCATTTCCCCATCACCCCCATCGCCCCCCACGTCCCTATAGCCCCGTCACCCCCATAGCCCACAAAGCCCCCATGCTCCCCATGCACGTACTATGTGGAGCTGCAGGAAGTCACCCAGCCCCCCATACCCCTATAGCCCCCATAGCCCCCCATACCCCTATAGCCCCCATACCCCTATAGCCCCCATGCTGTACACGCTATGTGGAGCTGCAGGAAGTCGCTCATAGCCTCTATAGCCCCCATAGCCCCTATAGCCCCTTATACCCTCATAGCCCCTATACCCTTATAACCCCTATACCCCCTATATCCCCCATACCCACATGCTGTACTTACTATGTGCAGCTGCAGGAAGTCGCCCATAGCCCCTATACCCCCTGTAACCCCCATACCCCCATACCCCCTATACCCCCATAGCCCCCCATATCCCATATCCCCCCTGCCATACTCACTATGTGCACCTGCAGGAAGTCGCCCATAGCCCCTATACACCCTATACCCCCATACCCCATAGCCCAAGCCGTACTCACTATGTGCAGCTGCAGGAAGTCCCCCATACCCCCCATAGACCCCCATACCCCCCATACCCCCATACCCCCCATACCCCCCATACCCCATATACCCCATACCCCATACCACATACCCCATATACCCCATACCCCATACCCCATATACCCCATACCCCATATACCCCATACCCCATACCCCATACCCCATACCCCATATACCCCATAATTCATACCCTATACCCCATATACCCCATACCCCATATCCCATACCCCATATCCCATACCCCATATCCCATATCCCATACCCCATATACCCCATGCCCAGTCCCCCATACCCCATATCCCATACCCCATCCCCCATATCCCATTCCCCATCCCCCATACCCCATACCCCATACCCCATACCCCATACCCCATATCCCCATACCCCATACCCCATATACCCCATACCCCATCCCCCATCCCCCATACCCCATACCCCATCCCCCATACCCCATATACCCCATACCCCATACCCCATACCCCCATATACCCCATACACCCCATATACCCCATACCCCATACCCCATCCCCTATAGCCCCCCATCCCCTACAACCCCATCCCCTATAGCCCCCCATCCCCTACAACCCCATCCCCTACAACCCCATCCCCTATAGCCCCCCATCCCCTATAGCCCCCCATCCCCTATAGCCCCCCATCCCCTATAGCCCCCCATCCCCTATAGCCCCCATCCCCTATAGCCCCCCATCCCCTATAGCCCCCATGCCGTACTCACGATGTGGAGCTGCAGGAAGTCCCCCAGCCCCGCAGCGCTCTCCACCCGCAGCAGGACCGCGTCGCGCTGCCTCGTGCTGAAGCCCAGCGCCAGGCGGTCGGCGCGGGTGCTCGGCCGCTCGTTGGGGGGCCACGTGTACGTGATGAGGCCCCCGCCGCGGCCGAAGATGTACGTGGTACCCGCTGCGGGGATATGGGGTCAGGGGGGTCTGTGATGGGGTCTATGGGGTCTATGGGGTCTATGGGGTCTATGGGTCTATGGGGTCTATGGGTCTATGGGGTCTATGGGTCTATGGGGTCTATGGGGTCTATGGGTCTATGGGGTCTATGGGTCTATGGGTCTATGGGTCTATGGGGTCTATGGGTCTATGGGGTCTATGGGTCTATGGGTCTATGGGGTCTATGGGGTCTATGGGTCTATGGGGTCTATGGGGTCTATGGGGTCTATGGGGTCTATGGGGTCTATGGGGTCTATGGGGGTCTATGGGGTCTATGGGGTCTATGGGGTCTATGGGGTCTATGGGGTCTGTGGGGTCTATGGGTCAATGGGGTCTATGGGGTCTATGGGGTCTATGGGGTAAATGGGGTCTGTGGGGTCTATGGGGTAAATGGGGTCTATGGGGTCAATGAGGTCTATGGGGTCAATGGGGTCAACAAGGTCTATGGGGTCTATGGGGTCCATGGGGTCTATAGGATACTATGAGGTCTATGGGGTCTATGGGGTCAATGGGGCCTATGGGGTCTATGGGGTCAATGGGATCTATGGAGTCTATGGGGTCAACGGGGTCTATGGGGTCCATTAGGTCTATCGATTCAGTGGGGTCTATGGGGTCAATGGGGTCTATGGGGTCAATGGGGCCTATGGGGTCTACGGGGTCAATGGGGTCTATGGGGTCAATGGAGTCCATGGGGTCCATGGGGTCTATGGGGTCCATCAGGTCTATCAGTTCAATGGGGTCAATGGGGTCTATGGGGTGAATGGGGTCAATGAGGTCCATGGGGTCTATGGGGTCCATCAGGTCTATCAGTTCAATGCGGCCTATGGGGTCAATGGGGTCTATGGGGTGAATGGGGTCAATGAGGTCCATGGGGTCTATGGGGTCCATCAGGTCTATCAGTTCAATGCGGCCTATGGGGTCAACGGCTTCCATGGGGTCTATAGGGTCTATGGGATGCTATGAGGTCTATGGTGTCTATGGGGTCAGTGGGGCCTGTGGGGCCTGTGGGGTCTATGGGGTCAATGGGATCAGTGGGGTCAATAGGGTCTATGGGGTCAGTGGGGTCAATGGGGTCCATGGGGTCTATGGGGTCCATGGGGTCAATGGTGTCTATGGGGTTCATTGGGGGCATTGGAGTCTATGGGGGTCATGGGGTCTATGGGGTCCATGGTGTCTATAGGGTCATGGGGTCCATTGGGGGCATTGGAGTCTATGGGGCCCACGGGGCTCATGGAGTCCATTGGGGGCACTGGAGTCTATGGGATCCATGAGGTCCATGGGGGTCATTGGGGTCAATAAGCGGCATGGGGCTCTATGGGGTCCATGGGGGACTATGGGGTCCATGGGGCACTATGGGGTCCATGAGGCCCATGTGGGTCATTAAAGTCTATGAGGTCCATGGGGGTCTATGGCGTCCATGGGGTTCATTTAAGTCTATGAGGTCTATGGGGTCCATGGTGGTAATGGGGGTCTATGTGGTCCATGGGGTCATTGGAGTCCATGGGGTCCACAGGACCCTACAGGGTCCATGGTGGTCATGGAGAGAATGGGGTCCATGGGGCCCATAGGCCCCATACAGGTCCTGGAGGGCATGGGAGCCATGGGGTCCATTGGGGCCCATGAACTCTATGGGGTCTATGGGGGTCAGAGAGGCACAGGGGCAGTGGGAGTCTATGGAGCCCATGGGGATCATGGGGACCTATGGGGTCTATGGGGGTCAGAGAGGCACAGGGGTCATTGGGGTCTATGGGGGTCATGGGGGTCTATGAGGGTCATGGGGTCCATGGGACCCATAGGGGTCTCTGGGGGTCCATGGGGGGCAGAGGGGGATCCCCTGGGTACCCCCCCAAAGTGGGTGCAGAGGAAGGGGGGGGGGGGCTGTGAGAGCCCCATGGCCCCATCCCCTTGCTTGCAGGAGGATCTCGCCCCACACAAGGGCTCAGCCCAAGCCCCACAGCCCCGGGGGGTGCAAGCGCTTGGGGGGCACAGGAAGGACGTGCCCTGCCCGGCCCCACTGCTCACAGCCCGGGGGGAGAGGGAGAGGAGGAGGGAGAGGGAGAGCAGGAAATGGGAAGGGGAAGGGGTCCCCAGGAGGAAGAGCAGGAGGAGGAAGAGGGAATGGGAAGGGGAAAGCTTTGGGGTCCCCAGGAAGAGGAGGAGGAGGAAGAGGGAGAGGGATGGGGTCTGCAGGAGGAAGAGGAGGAGGAAGAAGAGCAGGAAGAGGGAATGGGAATAAGAAGGGGTCCCCAGAAGGAAGAGGATGAGGAGGATGAGGAGGAAGAAGGAATGGGAATGGAAAGGGGAAAGCTCTGGGGTCCCCAGGAGGAAGAGGAGGAGGAGGAAGAGCAGGAAGAGGGAATGGGAACGGGAAGGGGTCCCCAGGAGGAAGAGGAGGAGGAAGAGGAGGAAGAGGGAATGGGAATGGGAATGGGAAAGCTTTGGGGCCCCCAGGAACAAGAAGAGGAGGAGGAAGAGCAGGAAGAGGGAATGGGAATGGGTCCCCAGGAGGAAGAGGAGGAGGAAGAAGGAATGGGAATGGGAAGGGGAAAGCTCTGGGGTCCCCAGGAGGAAGAGGAGGAGGAGGAAGAGCAGGAAGAAGGAATGGGAACGGGAAGGGGTCCCCAGGAGGAAGAGGAGGAGGAAGAAGGAACGGGAATGGGATGGGGAAGGCTCTGGGGTCCCCAGGAGGAAGAGGGAGAGGGAAGAGGAAGGGGAATGGGAAGGGGTCCCCATGAGGAAGAGGAGGAGGAGGAGGATGGAGCCTGTGGGGTCCGCACCAGCAGCAGAGGAGGAGGAGGAGGAAGGGGCCGGCCCGAGAGCAGCCGGGAGCAGATGGGGAGGAGGAGGAGGGAGAGAAGGGAGGAGGAGGAGGAGGAGGAGGAGGAGGAGGAGGAGGAGGAGGAAGAGCAGGAGGGGAGCCTGGGGCCGCTGCGGGCAGGAGGGGAGGAGAGGAGGAGGAGGGGAGGGGAGGGAGGAAGCCTGGGGGGTGCAGGGGGAGGGAGAGGGGGGCTTGGGGCGCCCCAGGAGGAGGAGGAAGAGGGGGGGTCCCCAGGAAGAGGATGAGGGTTTGGGGGGCCCCTGTGAGCAGGATGAGGATGAGGATAAGGGGGGTCCCCCATGAGGATGAGGATGAGGAGGGGTCCCCATGAGGATGAGGATGGGGGGTCCCCAGAAGGATGAGGATGAGGAGGGGCTCCCCATGAGGATGAGGAGGGGTTCCCCATGAGGATGAGGAGGGGCTCCCCATGAGGATGAGGAGGGGTTCCCCATGAGGATGAGGATGGGGGGTCCCCAGAAGGATGAGGATGAGGAGGGGCTCCCCATGAAGATGAGGATGAGGAGGGGTTCCCATGAGGATGAGGATGGGGGGTCCCCAGAAGGTTGAGGATGAGGAGGGGCTCCCCATGAGGATGAGGAGGGGGTTCCCATGAGCAGGATGAGGATGAGGAGGGGCTCCCCATGAGGATGAGGAGGGGGGGTCCTCAGAAGGATGAAGATGAGGTTTTGGGGTCCCAGTGAGGAGGATGAGGTGGGGCTCCCCATGAGGATGAGGGGTTCTGGGGTCCCCATGAGGTGGTCCTGGTGTCCCTATGAGGTGTTTGGGTCCCCATGGGGTGGTTCTGGGGTACCCATTGTGGGGGTTCAGGTCCCTATAGGGGTTCCAGTGGGGGTGTTCAAGTCCCTATGAGGAATTCAAGTCCCTATAGGGCTCCCTTTGGGTGGGTTCAGGTACCTATGATAGGTCCAGGTCCCTATAGATGGGTCCAGCTCCCTATAGATGGGTTCGGGTCCCTCTGATGGGTTCGGGTCCCTATAATGGGTTTGGGTCCCTATGGATGGGTCCAGCTCCCTATGGATGGCTCCATGTCCCTATAGGGTGTTCAGATCCCTATGGATGGGTCCAGCTCCCTATAGATGGGTCCAGTTCCCTATAAATGGGTCCAGCTCCATATAAATGGGTCCAGCTCCCTATAGATGGCTCCAGCTACCTATAGATGGCTCCACCTCCCTATAAATGGGTCCATCTCCCTATATATGGCTTCAGCTCCCTATAGATGGCTCCATCACCCTATAGATGGGTCCAGCTCCCTATAGACGGGTCCAGCTCCCGATAGATGGGTCCAGCTCCCTATAAATGGGTCCAGCTCCCTATAAATGGGTCCAGCTCCCTATAAATGGGCCCAGCTCCCTATAGATGGGTCCAGCTCCATATAAATGGGTCCAGCTCCCTATAGATGGGTCCAGCTCCCTATAGATGGGTCCAGCTCCCTATAAATGGCTCCAGCTCCCTATGGATGGGTCCAGCTCCCTATAAATGGGTCCAGCTCCATATAGATGGGTCCAGCTCCCTATAAATGGCTCCAGCTCCCTATGGATGGGCCCAGCTCCCTATAAATGGGTCCAGCTCCATATAGATGGGTCCAGCTCCCTATAAATGGGTCCAGCTCCCTATAGATGGGTCCAGCTCCCTATAGATGGGTCCAGCTCCCTATAGATGGGTCCAGCTCCATATAGATGGGTCCAGCTCCCTATAAATGGGTCCAGCTCCCTATAGATGGGTCCAGCTCCATATAGATGGGTCCAGCTCCCTATAGATGGGTCCAGCTCCATATAGATGGGTCCAGCTCCCTATAAATGGGTCCAGCTCCCTATAGATGGGTCCAGCTCCATATAGATGGGTCCAGCTCCCTATAAATGGGCCCAGCTCCCTATAAATGGGTCCAGCTCCCTATAGATGGGTCCAGCTCCCTATAGATGGGTCCAGCTCCATATAGATGGGTCCAGCTCCCTATAGATGGGTCCAGCTCCCTATAAATGGCTCCAGCTCCCTATGGATGGGCCCAGCACCCTATAAATGGGTCCAGCTCACTATAGATGGGTCCAGCTCCCTATAAATGGGTCCAGCTCCCTATAAATGGGTCTAGCTCCCCATAGCCGCCTCCATCTCCCCAGAGCCGGCTCCAT